GCAAGGCCCTCCCAGGAACAGCCCTGAGTAGAGCTCTTCTCTGACGCTACAGAAATCTTGACTTTTGAGCATCTAAGGATCCTCATCCTATCTATTTAAAGGCAGTTTCAGGAATCTTCCAAATAGTTTGAATGACTAGAACCTATTTGGGCTTGTAAGAAACTTACTGGGGGTAGTCTAGTGGTTAAGGAAGCCAGATCCTACATGGCCATCTATGGTTTAAATCCCAGCCCTGGGACCAGCAGTTGGTGTAATGGCTATGTCGCTGGACTCCCATGTAGCCAGCCGTGGTTTGAGTTCCGGACCCGGTGGCTTAAACTCACACCAGGCGTGTGTGTGTGTGTGTGTGCCCAAGATCCCAAAAGGAGAATGGAGGAGAAGGGATTGCGGCATGGCCATTCCCCCTGGGGGGGTGATTTCTTGCTTTCTGTCTCTCTCTTCCTGGCGAGCACATGCACCCTATAGCAAAAACCTCCCAAAAAAATAAAAATCCCAGCCCTGACAGCTTGAAAAACATGCTGGGCACATGTGTGTGCATGCCCACATCCCCACGAGATGGAGAAGGGAAGGGCTTGTGGAGTGACCACGCCCTGTTGAGAGGTGCTTTCTCTTCTGTCTCTGGTGAGTACATGTGCCCTATGACAATTTAAAAAAAAGAAAGAAACTGATTGGAGAACTGAATCCTGAGGTAGGTGCAATTACGTGCACCTAACTTTTGGGAACTTTGAGTGGGGGATGAACTAAGCCTCCTCTCCCTAGGCTTGTGTGTGGACAGAACAGAGGAGAATGGAGGGGAGCTGCCTTCTGACTCTGTATCCTCTGCCCTGTGCGAAGTTCAGGAGCTGGTCACTAGGGATAAGGCTAAGATGCACCCTTGGTAGTGGAGGGCACAGGGAGCCACAGCCTTCCTCCTCCTGTCTCCCCACATACACCCCTGTTTATTGCACTATCATGGGACCACGTGGACAGAGGGTCACACCAAGAGCAGCCTAGAGACTCCACATCTCACGAAAAGGAAACCGTATCTGAAGCCAGCAGATCTGGTCCCGGTCCTGGCTCTTCGAGAACTCAGGTGTCCAGGTGAGTAATACAAAATCTACAAAAGGATAGCACCCTTGTTCCTGAGGCAAAGGACAGATGATGGGCTGGCGAAAGATTTGTTTTCCTCACCGATTCTGGTTGTAGACGATGTAAGGCCCAGAACACTGGACCCTTGCCAAAGACACAACGGGAAGACGTTCCGCTTTTCAGGTGCGGCAGGAAGACCCTCTACAGCTCTCAATGGTTGACCGTGGCCAAGGTCAAGTCCAGTCCTGCTGACATTTGCTCTCTTGTGTTTGATGGTCTCCAGGCTGTCCTGTTTCCAGTGTCAGCCCTGTTTCCTGTCATTTCCTCCCAGTGAACATCAGCGGTAATCTCATCTGGCCTGACCCAGCCTCTGAGAGGAGACAGTGAGGACGCCATCTAAGAGATGTGTGTTTAATGCCAAGACATTAGGAACCTGCAGCACGTAGATCAGTTAGGTAAAGCAGTAGAAAAGAACACATGAGGGCCAGCAGGTGGCGTGGTGGCTGAGGGGCTGGATTCCACATGGCCAACAGCGTGATCTAGTCCCGGACCTGGCAGTTTAACAAACACGCTGGATGCCTTTGAACGCATGCCTGAAATCCTGAGAGGAGAATGGAGGAGAAGGGTTTGTGGCATAGCCATCCCTCTCGGGGAGGGAGGGATTTTTTTCCCTCTGTCGGTCTCTGTCCCTACAGAAAACAAAACAAAACAAAATTGGAATTCGGACGTACGAGCACAGAAACGTGCTTTCAGGTAACTCAGCTGTTGAGACGCGACATCAGTCTCTAACAGTTCCAGACGATAGATTACAAAAACCTAGTGAGTGGCAGCGATGACAGTCACTCAGCACCGGGACAGCGGTCAGTGCAGGCTTTCAGGGTGGAGGATCGAGCCTACGCTGGGCCTCCAGGAGTGCGGGGGTTGAGAGAGATGGGAAGGCCGTGGTGAGACCTCCTGGGGATAAGGACCGGAGCCACGGGACATCAGGGCCAGGCACTTTCAGGCCTCTGTGGAACGGGGACCACGTGACCGGGCAGAGGTGATCGGAGGGGAAATACTGAGGGATTTGGGGAGCAGACCTATTATGACACTTAAAGGGCAATGAGGAGAGTGACCCCTGAGCATGAAGTCGCAGAAACCAGAAAAGGTAAGTAGGGGCTGGCCAGTGACCTAGTGGTGAAGCGGGGCAAGTCCCACATGGCAAACAGCGTGCATCGAACATCAGCCTCAGAGGCCTGAAAAGTATGACAGGCTTGTGAGCTTGCACACCCCCAACCCCCACAGGAGGGTGAAAAGAAGGGATTGTGGCATGACCATTCCTCATCGGGGGATGCTTTTTCTTTCTGTCTTTCTCTGGTGAGTACACACCCTCTGGAAAACAAACATACAAACAGAAAAGTGAGGCTAAATTATGAAAGATCTTAAGAGGCAAAGGAGTTCAGATTTAATCCAGTAGACAAACAGGGGCGGGTGTCTTGGCATGACCTGAACAAGAGAAGCGTAGGTGAGCGGTAGACACGCAGCCCAGAGCCCTGACTGGTGTGAGCAGCAGAGCGCATGGACAGGCTAGACGTGAGCCTGAGTATTCCAGGGGAGGCGACTGGGAAGGTGATGGTGTTTCAGACAGGAGTGGGGACCGGGAAGGGAGCTGGCTTTGGAGATGACAGTGGGCTCAGGCTGTCCTCGAGGTGATGTCTCCACACCTGGAGAGTGACCGAGCAGGACACAAGGACAGAGGCCAGACCATGCAGGTGTGAAAGTCCACACATGGCCAGTCAGGTGGCGTGGTGGTTAAGGTGGCTAGATCCTACATGGCCAATTGTGTAGTTCGAATCCCAGACCCATCAGCTAGAGAGGCACCAAGTGCGTGTTCATGCCCAAAATTCTGAGAGGAGAGAATGGAGAAGGATGGCAGCGGTGGTGGTGCTGGTGGGTGTCTCACAAAACCAAACCAAACCAGACCAAACCAGACCACACAAAGAACTTCTCTTTGACAAAAGAAAGTGGAGAGAATGGGGGGAGGGAACAGGGACAGGAAGGATCTGGGCCACCATCAGGAAAGGAGATGGAGACCCGGAGCCAGAGTCAAGGAAAAGGAGGGGGGAATTGTTTCCAGAAAGTGATCGGATGACCCAGTGTTCAAGAAAAAGAGGGATTTAGAGGCCATTGGGTTTGGTTCACTTAACAAGTCTGGGCATCCACATGTTTCAGAGCTGTAGCTGGGCTCTGGGATGCTGGTAGGAATTATCCCTGGGGTAGCAGGTAACATAGTGGTTAAGGCACTGGACGCCCACACGGCAGACAGCAGTTCGAGTCCAGAACCCAGCGGCTTGAAATTCATGTTGGGCGCGTGTGCATGCATGCCCAAAATCCCAAGAGGAGAATGGAGGAAAGGGGATTGTACATGGCCAATTGATGATTTCTCACTTTCTCTCCATCTCTCTGGAACTCTCCAGAGCACACATGCCCTATAGCAAAAATCTCTTCAAATAAAAGAAAACAAGAAATGATCCCCATTCAGCAGACAGCTTCCCAGCGCCTGTGCAGGTGCCAGGCCCTGAGTGTTGGAGAGGCTGACTGAGGCCCATTCCTGCCCCCGAGGAGCTGGTGTTTACAAAAGCTTCAGTTCACAGTGAGGAAGGAAGAGGGCTGGGCAATGGAGGGGGAAGGCAGGGATGAAAAACGTGTCCAGTTGAGAGCAGACCACTGAACGGAAAACTGGCATTTAAAGCAAAGGCGAGAGCTAGAAAAATAACTTGAAAAGACTAGAAAAGTTCTGCAATCCTCTGCCTCCCACCAAAGTGAGACTTGATGTGCCAGGTAAGGGAGAGTAGGGCCTGTTAGGGAGGTGGAGTTGCAGCCCAAGTAAATAGAAGACTTTGTACCCAATCTCTAAGAACTAAGAGGACCCCATTCTGACTAGTCAAGAAACATGACTAAGGGGGACTAGCAGTTAGCATAATGGCTATGTCGCTGGACTCCCATGTAGTCGACCACGGTTCGAGTCCCGGACCCGGTGGCTTAAACTCACATCTGGCGCGTGTGTGTGCATGCCCAAGATCCCGGGAGGAGAATGGAGGAGAAGGGATTGTGGTGTGGCCATCCCCTCTGGAGGGTGATTTCTCACTTTCTATCTCTCTTTGTCTGTCTGGCGAGCGCATGTGCCCTATAGCAAAAACCTCTAAAAAAAATAATAAAATAAAAACCATCATTCCCAGTGTCTTTTTGGGGACCAGCCGGTGGCGTGGTGGTTAAGGTGCTGGACACTCTCCCACATGGCCGACCACGGTTCGAGTCCCAGCTTCCTTTCTCCCTTTCCCTCTCTCTCTCTCTCTCTCTGTGTGTCTCCCTCTGGTCAAATTAAAAATAAATGAATGAATAAATAAAATTAAATAAATAATAATTTAAGAAAAAAAAAAGAAACATGACAAAGGATGAAGTGATGACCAGCGATAAAGTTAGAGGTCTGACAACGCGCGTTTGGAAAATGCAGGAAGAGTCAGAAAAGGAGACCGTGTGGGAGAGGAAGTAGCAGTGAAGGCTTCTTGGAGGAGGTGGCCTTCAACCCAAGCCCCGAAGCATGGGCACAGAGGCAAGAACGGGCATGCCCAGCACTGAGTGATTCCGCTTTCCTCTGCCGAGAGCCCTCCACCCACTCCCCGGCCCTCGCTTTCTCCTCCCGCCAACCTCAGCTCGGGAGTCGGGCTCAGGTTCCCAGCACTGACGTCAGCAGACGATGACCTCAGCGCGGAAGGGGCGGAGAGGGCGGAGGGGGCGGAGGGGGCGGAGGCGGAGTTGAGAGGGGGGGCGAGCGGCAGCGTGCGAGGCGGGGCGACACCAAGCCCAGCCCCCATCCGCTGGCCGCGACCAATGAGCGCCGCCAGTGGCCCTTCGCCCCGCCTCCCCGAATAGCATGAAAAGCGCGGCTCCGGGGAAGTTCGGGCAGAGCCCGAGCCGCGGCTGAGCGAGCGGAGCTGAGGATCGGAACGTCCCGCACCACCGGAGCCATCTCATCGCTCCCCGAGCCGCGCACAATATGAGCCACGGGCAGAGAAGCGACATGCTCCCGGAGATCGCCGCCGCCGTGGGCTTCCTCTCCAGCCTCCTGAGGACGAGGGGCTGTGTGAGCGAACAGAGGCTTAAGGTTTTCAGCGGGGCGCTCCAGGAGGCACTTACAGGTGAGCGCTTACCGGGCGCCTGGCGCCCCTGAGCTCGGCCTCCTCGGTGCCTGGCAGGGTCCCACATGAGAGCAGCTTGGGAACTGAGCTACCTCCTCTGACCCCCCAGGGCCCGAGTCCCCAAATGCCTGGGTCGTGTCTTCCTCCCCTGCCACCACGATGTTGATCCGTGGTGATTCTGGTCGGGCGCGACCCTCCTCGCTCTTGGGAACGCTGACGTTTTTCCTCGGGACGGATCCGAGTCCTGGCTAATGCCCCGGAAGAGGGGGTATCTGGGTATCCGAGTTTGGGCTCGTTGCCCTCGCTAGATTCTTTGGACCTCGAGACCCATGTGGGGCGATAAAGCCAGGCTGCCCAGGGTCCTTATGTGAAAGGAAGGCGAAAGTGAGTCTTCTGAACAACTTGGAGTTCCAACCGTAGTTCTTCCGGCCCTGCGAGCTGCCCGTTGTCTCCTGGAAGTTGGAGTCCGGGCCCCCTTTGTATTCTCTTTGTCCCCCTTAGCCATCTGCCACTTATCCTGGTACCCAGGAGAGTCGTGTAGCTGGCAGCCGTGCTCCGAGGGCATGTGTGTGGGGTGGGGAGGGGGGCGGCGAGGCAGGGAGGTAGATGAGAGAGAAGCCTCCCCTGCCTGGGGACAGCGCCCATCTCCAGCTGTTTCCAGGGCCTGGCAGGCGGTCTAGGGCAGCCAGGCGGCTCCGAACATGCCCACACAGAGCCTGCGTCTGAGGAAAACAGATGTTTCATCAAAACAACTCTTGGCTACTGCTAAGGATCGCTGACTCTCCTGACTAGCAGAGAGGGGGGCCCTGACACGGCTGACTTGCTCTGGGCCCGGAAATGTGGGCAGCCTCCCTGGCCTTGAGGCTTGCTGGTCCCAGTCACACCTGCCTCTTTAAACTCCGAATGTGCCCAAAGCAATCCACTGGCCATTAGCAAATATCCCCGTGATCTGGGACCCTCTCCTAAACACACACATAGCTCTGTCCTGGAAGGAGGGAGGTCTCTCCAGCTCCCATAAAATTTTCTCTGCTAAATGGTGTGAGAGTTTCAGGAAGTCCTGGAACCCGGGAAAAGCCAGCCACCTGCCTCACGGAAAATCACTGGCCCCTTCCTATCCTCCTCTCCTTTCCCCCTGGTCCCATGACCCAGTTGCTCTAACCAGGGCTTCGCCCCCTGTCCTGTCTTCACAGAGCACTACAAACACCACTGGTTTCCTGAGAAGCCGTCCAAGGGCTCCGGCTACCGCTGCATCCGCATCAACCATAAGATGGACCCCATAATCAGCAAGGTGGCCAGCCAGATCGGACTCAGCCAGCCCCAGCTGCGCCAGCTGCTGCCCAGCGAGCTGACCCTGTGGGTGGACCCTTACGAGGTGTCCTACCGCATCGGGGAGGACGGCTCCATCTGTGTCCTGTACGAGGAGGCCCCGGTGGCCGCCTCCTACGGGCTCCTCACCTGCAAGAACCAAATGATGCTGGGCAGGAGCAGCCCCTCGAAGAACTACGTGATGGCGGTCTCCAGTTAGAGCCGGCGCCCACCCCACACCTCCTGTGCCCCTGCAGCAGAGACAACAGGCCACCACATACCTCAACCTGGGGAACTGCATTTTTAAATGAAGAGCTATTTATATATATATTATTTTTTTTAAGAAAAGAGGAGAAAACAAACCAAAAGATTTTTTTAAGAAAAAAATCCTTAAAGGGAGCTGCTTGGAAGTGGCCTCCCCAGGTGCCTTTGGAGAGAACTGTTGTGTGCTTGAGTCTGGGAGCCAGCGTCTGCCTTTTGGGGGTGGGGTGCAGGGGCAGGCCTTGCCAAGGTGAGGCTGGAGAGTGAGAGGGTGCAAGCAAGGTCAGCAGCTGTGAATGAGGGAGGTCAGGGTCTGCCCTGCAGGGAGAGAGGATGGATTCACACCTCTCTCTCCTGGCCAGGACACCTCCACCCTGGCTCCTCTCTTACTCAGGGGCATTCGAGCCTGGACTTACATAATACTAGGTTGCCTGATGTTCTCTTTCAGTTTTCGGATGAGATCCTGGGCAGAGTGAAAAGGCCTCTCCTTTTTCTTTCTGTCCTAAGCAGCTTTTCCTGACATCATGACTTGTTTCTAATTCTACCCTCAGAGGCTTGTAGGTGTTACAACCCCGCCAGGAATCTAAAGCTTTTTTTATTTTTTCTTTTGGTGGGGAGCACATGGCAGGGGTTGGAGGTTGTCGGGCTTAGGATGGGGGATCTCTGCACAAAACCTTGCTTTGCTACGTGCTGCTTTGTGTGTGTGTGTGTGGCGAATAACTTGGGAGTGATTTGCAATGAAATTTTGGAGACCCAAAGAATATCCACTGGGATGTTTTGGGGCCCAAACCCATCTTTTTGGAACCACATGAAAGTCCTGATGCTGCTACTGTGATTCCTTTGAGAGGTGGCTCAAAAGCTACAGGGAACTCCCGGGCCTTGGTTACTGCCTTCTTTTCAAAAGCACAACACTCTTCTCTAACCCTCCCCTCTCCTCGCTCTTTCTGGTTGGGTCATGAAGCTACCCTGTTTTCCAGGACAAGAGTTCTCAGTCACTGTGCAATATGCCCCCTGGTCAGGAGGCTCTGGAGGGGAACTGGCTCCCAGAACCTTCTGTGCCCTGGTGGGGTAAGGGAGCTATCTCCTCTCACCTCAGGATGACGTTGGCCGGCTGGCCACCGGTGTCCCTTGGCTGAATGGGAGAGTGCCCCGTGCTCTGCAGGACTACTTGGTATTCTTGTAGGGCGACATTAAAGCCAAACCTTGGGCACTGTTTTCCTCCCTGGTGCTCAGAGCACCTGTAAAAGAGGTCGCTGTCTTTCAGTACAATCCAAATTTGTAGACATGTGCAATATTTACTTTTCTGGGTTAGAGAAAAAGGAAACTGCACTGGGAAGAAACCCTCTACCTTCAGTTTCCCAGTGACGTTGATGTTGGAGTCATCAGAAGGCCTCGAGTTTCCCAAACCGGATCACCTTAAGAAGGACAGAGCTACAGCATCTGGTTAAGCTGGCCACTCCCCTGCTGCTGCCCCTTAGGGAAGACTCTTCTCCCCCACTCCTGATCTCAGATTCCACTCCCCATGGGCAATCCCCTTTCTTGGATTTCTTAACTCCTCAATTTCGATTCAAAGGTGCTATTTACCAAACACTTCCCTGTCCATTCCTGCCAGTCCTGCCTCCTCCCAGGCCCTGCTTCCAGTCTTTACTGCTTTAAAGTTAACTTAGGGCCCACAGACCCCAGAGCCAGTTTTCTGGCCTGCGGGTTGAAACAAAGCTGTGAATTACCGCAGACTGTGTGTTGGCATCTAGTCTGCAAACAGGTCCCTGCCTTTTTAGAAGCAGCCTCCTGGTCTCATGTCGAATCTTTTTCTCTCTTCTCCTTTTCGATGTTCACTTTAAAAACAATACCCCCAGGGTGGACTGTTGAGCAGGTCCATCTCTCTTACTAAGTAAAAATAAATAATAGGAGTACATTTGTAAGCTATTCTGACAGAAAAGACAAAGGTTACTAATTGTATCATAGTGTTTTTTATATGGAAGAATGTATAGCTTTATGGACAAATGTACACTTTTTGTTTTGTTACTTTAATAAAAATGTAGCAGATGAAGTCTCCTAGTGTAAAGGTGACATTCCCACCTGGCTCACTTGCATTCCCTTGCCAGACCAAATCATTTGGGTTTCTTAGTATTTCTCTTCGATTGCACTCAGGGATCTCAGAGCATAATGTCTGGTGTAAAAGAAGAGTATGGTCACGTGGCTGGGCCATTTCTAAGCATTGGCTCTTCACTGGGAACTGGGCCCTCGTTCCCTCCTTTAATGTACCCGTTCCCTGTGAAAATACTGAAGTAACAGGGCTTGTCTAGTCTGAATGTTCCTCGGCCTCGCCAGGTCTTCATCTTACATAATCTGTTCTTGGTAGTGCTTCAGGCCCTCCCTCACTCTCATTCACTGGCTCACTCACCCAGCAGGCACGCACTGCCAGGAAGTGCCAGGCACTGAACGTCGTCCAAGTGATAAGACACGGTCTGTCTCAGACCAGGAGTGGAAAGCGGGGGATAATGGACCCCTTCCCAGGCTGGAACAAGATTGTTTGCACTTCCTAGTGAAGGTCCTCTTGTCACCCAGGCTGCCATTTGCTACCTGCCACTCTTGTCTTAGTGCGGTCAAGCCCCAGGACCTATACCCTGGAGCAGGGTATGTGGCTCGATGGGCTTGCTGCTCGGGAACTGGAGAGTGGCTTGTCCTGGCAGTAGACACTGGAGTGAGATGGTGTCTTGTTACTCATTTGTAACACTTTGGGCTCTATACATAGGATCTGTGCAGGGAATAAGAGCACCGTCTCACCCCGGGCTTTTGGATTCTGTTCTTGAGGTTTTGACACAGGCCTGCAGCTCCCACGGAGGTCACAGTATGTTTTTTCCTCCTCCCTGGGTGGGCTGTATTTAAATTCTAAGCACATTGACTCATGGGTGGTGGCACCATCGCCCCTGCCTCCAACCCCAACCTAATACCTCCATGACCTTGAATAGCTTGCAGTCTGTCCCAGGTGTGCTGGGCCAGCGGTGGGCCAGAGGGGTTGTGTGTGGTGTGCTTGTATTGGGCAAGGAGTGTGGGGACCTGGGGATAAGATGGGGGAGGCCAGGCCATCTGTATTGTAAACAGGACTAGTTATTGGACCCACTTCTAGCAAGGGTTGTTATTTAAAGAAATAGTGCCGTTTTCATTTGTAGCTTTGAATGTAATCCCTAGGCACTCAGTTAAAAGGACCTCCTATTTTGGATGCAAGCGCAGGTTAGGGTACAGGGACGTGCGCCCTTCCTGGTGTGCTGTTCTCTCCTGGGTGTCCAGTACAAAGTCAGCATCTACGTTATTTCCTGAAAGCCCCCAGCCAGGAAGGGTATTCGCCTCGCTGTTCAGTGGAAAGCCTTCAGGGCTTTCTCTTTCTGGGAAGCTTGTCTGGAGACGGGCACACCTCAGCCACCTCTAGGTCTCTAAGCCAGGGAACCACAGGTTCATCTTGGAACTGCTCTTGGCAAACTAATAGTCCCTGGATTGACACGAGCGGGTTCTGTGATCAAGCAACGTGTCGTTTATTTCCGATCTGACCCATGTCCGCAGAGGTGGGAAGGGTCACTTGGTCAGCTAGGGGTATGGGAGCTCTGGCCTGAAACTGCTTGAGGAGTGGCGGCAACTTTCGTGAGTCTGGGGACTAGGCATGGGTTGGTCCTGTCCTGCTTCCAGCTTCCTCATTAGGTAAACAGCCTGGAAGACCTGTGCCCAGTCAGCTGTTTGGGGATGATAATGTACCTCCTCTGAGAGAGGAGACAAGGCCTTGGGAGCCGCAGATTAAGAGCCCATTCGGCCCCTGATAAGGAGCTTTGGGTGGGGGAGTCTGATGTTGCAACCAAGCCCCAGGAGGAAGAAGCCCTCCCGTACGGTCTGACATCTGTCCCTAGAAGAACCTGTGGTGGGGAAAGATAGTGAGAACTCGAGTGTCCTGGCTCCCAGGCTGGTGGTGGTGTCCCTGACCCAACAAAGGGCAGTGAGAAAGCATTCTGGGCTGGGTGGGAGAATGTGTGGGTTGGGGCCCTGGTTCTTCCTGACTAGCTGTGTCTTATCTTAGAAATTAGGGGTTGGATGAAATGACCTCAGTTCTTTTCCTAAGCTTTTGAATCCGAATCATTTACCTCCAGGAGGCAATCACTGGAGGGCAATTAACACCATTATTATCCTATTTTCAATTAGTTGAACTGAAAGGTCATTAGGCCTAGGAAGTGGAGGGAAGAATGGTCTTGGCTGGGTCAGTCCCCTGTCTGATAAGGCTTCCATAGATATTCAGGCTCCCGCACAGGCTGCCTGGGGAGGGAGGCCTCACTCATCTCAGCTCTGCCACTGGCTCCACAGCCCAGGGCAAGCTATTTATTGGTTGATTGATAGAATTTTGCATGTGCTTGCCAGAGAGACAGGAACTGAGAAATCACCCCTCTCTCCAGGGATAGCCACACCTCAATCCCTTCTCCTCCATTCTCCTCTTGGGATTTTGGGCATGTACACACATGTGCCCAGCGTGGTTTTCAAACCACCAGGCCTGGGACTTGAACTGCAGTCAACCATGTGGGAGTCTAGCACCTTAACCACCACACTACCTGTTGGTCCCTGGGGCAAGTTATTTACCTGGGGTGGATTACTTACTGGACAGGCCTGAACTTCTCCATTTGTAATGTGGGTTTAAGAATAGAACCATTGCTAAATGTCGGTAGGAAGATGAGATCCCCCGCCCACTACTTAGAGCAGTCTGGGCACATTGAAGTACTCCGTACATGAGAATGGGCGTTCCAAGTCGCAATTAACCTCTGCTAACTTCATCTCTTCAAGGGGTCTGAAGGGCACTGAGATGAAAGGCATTCTGGCATCCTAGAAGGACCCTATTATTAAAGTCCTATCAAGGACTTTAATACCATCCGAGCAGCCTGTTGTCTCTCCCCTAGAAAGGTGGTAAGGTGATTCTCAATCTTTTGTTTAAAACTCTTCGCAGGACCGGCTCTGTGACTCAGAGGTAATGTGCTGCTTAAGAGAAGGTGAATCCCCCCATGGAAACCTTCTGAATCCCACATAGAAACCTTGGTTCAAATCCCCAGTCCGATTGGCCTCCAATACACCAGGCACACATGCACTAGCACCCAAGATCCAGGGGGCTAGAAAATTGGAAGAAAGGGACTATGATGCGACTGGACCCTGTAGAGGGATTGTCTCTCTCCCTTCCACTCTCATGCATGGGCATGTGCTCTATCAAAATAAAATAAAATAGGGACCAGCAGTTAGCATAATGGCTATGTCACTGGACTCCCATGTAGTCGACCGTGGTTCGCGTCCCGGACCCAGTGTCTTGAAACTCATGCCGGGCGCGTGTGTGTGTGTGTGTGTGCCCAAGATCCCAAGAGGAGAATGGAGAAGGGATTGCGGCATGGCCATCCCCCCTGGGGAGGGGGTGATTTCTCACTTTCTATCTCTCCGTCTCTGGCTGGCTGGCAAGTGCATGCGCCCTATGGCAAAAACCTCTCCAAATAAAATAAAATAAAATAAATAATAACATATAAAATAGAATGTTTATTCTATTTAATGGGCCAATGGGTTACATAGTGGTTGAGGTGCTGGACTCCCACATGCTCGACTATGGTTTGGGTCCCAGATCTGGCAGCTTGAAACGCACTCTGGGCATGTGTGTATGCATGCCCCAAATCCTGAGAGGTAGACTGAAGAAAGGATTGTGATGTGGCCATTCTCCCATGGGATGATTTCTTGCTATCTATCTCTTTGTCTCTCTCTGCCTCTCTGGCAACTGTACATGCCCTGTAGCAAAAATCTCTCAAATAAATAAATAAAGGAATGAAATAAAAATCTTCACAGTCCTAAAGCCTTCCTAGGGTCATATGTTACCCATAGTAGGTACTCTATAAGTACCTGCTGAGTGAATGACTATTCACCAAAGGAACTCAAATCTGAGCCCTGTTATTTCTGCTGAAATGTATGGTGTCCTACTAGGCAGCCAACCTCACTGGTCACGGGGCAGTTTGGACCTGTCAGCTCCAACAGTCTGCTTGTGGATTAATACCAAACTGGGCTACGTGCTCATTGACACACAAAGTGGGTGGGGAAAAGGCCTTTCCCATAGCAACTTGGTTTACCTCCCTGTAGATTCACCTCCCTGCAACACACACACACACACACACACACACACACACACACACACGCTCTCCAATCCCGGAAGAGAAATTAATGGGGAAGTTGAGAAGGGCAAGCCAGTCTTCTGGACTTCTCTCAACACCACTTTTTTGTGCAAGAAAAAACGTGTGGGCTCCATCTCAGAGCCGACCAAGGCCCTGGATAACGATCTTCTACAAACCAGTGTGGCCTGATGTGCAGCCAATCCATCCTCCTGCTGCTATGGGCCCCAGGCAGCTCCAAGACATTTTGTTCCAGCACAAACCTGGTTCTGCCATTCCCCACCCCCCTCCCATAAACATGGGTGGGCGGGCCTTCACTCAACCCTTGTCCTGCAAACCAGACAGGCTGCTTACAGCACATCAGATAAGAGGCAGTTGTGGTCAGAGCGAGAGCCCTTGTTCACCAGCACCTTCAGAGAAGGACCGTCTACAATTGTACAGGGCACCAGGGACTGAGGATGGGACCAGGCAGACAGAGTGTGGATGGCTGGACAGAGACTGGGGCGAACTCTGAGAGCGCTCCAACTGACGAGGGCCTCTGCTCCTTTGCCCTAGTCCTCTGGTGTCAAATGAAGCCAGGGGTGAGAGATATGAATTTTTGTTTGTTTGTTTGGGAGATCTTTGCTATAGAACCTGAGCACTTGCCAGAGAGAGAGACAGAAAGCGAGAAATCACCCCCCAGGGGATGGCCACACTGCAATCCCTTCTCCTCCAATCACCTCTTAGAATTTTGGGTACACAGGCATCCCAGCTCAGATGTACATTTTTAAGAGAAGCCTGAAATGGAGACTTCTGCCTGGCATTGCCCTACATTATTTTTTTTGGAGAGTTTTTTTTTTTTTTGCTCGCCAGTCAGATAGAGAGAGACATAGAGACAGAAAGT